TTCATCAGAGGCTCCTCTGACTTCCTGGGATTAGGCCTTCTTGCTACATCACTGCTCGCAAACACCCCTCGCACCTCGGGCCCAGCTACTGGAAAGATTGCGACCTGGTGGGAGTGGGTGAAAGGACTCTCAGAAAGATCCAGAGTCTTCTACATTGACTTGAACAACAGAAATATGCTGCGCTCCCCCCGGGCATCTGTTGAATTCTACAGGAGGACCATCGCAGTAAGCGGCTTCCCTAGCCCCAGAGAGGTTGGGTTGGTAGTGCCTGGTGGGGCTCTGGGCTTGAGAGCAGGGTGGCTGGGAGCTGATTTGGACAGCCAGCTTCTCTGCCTGCCTGAGAAAGACAGGGTTGTGAGAGCCTGGCTGGAGGTCCTGCGCCCTAACACATAGCCTCTCTTTCTTTTCTTCTTCTTCTTTTTTTTTTTTTTTTTTTTTTTTTGCTTTTTGGGTCACACCCGGGTTACTCCTGGCTCTGCACTTAGGAATTACTTCTAGAGGTGCTCAGGGGACCATATGGGATGCTGGGAATCGAACCCGCATGCCAGGCAACGCCCTACCTGCAGTGCTATTGCTCCAGCTACCCCCTCTTCCTTTGCTGTTCAGAATGGGATCAGCAGGCTTTGAAATTGAGTCCCAACACAGCATTAGGGCATGACTGGGTCACAGGGGGCCTGTGGGCTTTTAGTTATACTGGCAACAAAGACTTGGAATGAAGTGTTACTCTAAGTGCAAACAAAGACTATTTTTTAAACATATATGAAAACAGTTAAGCAAATCAGACCATATAATTTTCCTCTTTTTCTTACTAAAGGCACAGCTAAACAAATGCCACTGGTTCCAAACTGAGATTTTAAAATAATTTAAAATTGAGCTGGATAGGGCACTTACCTTGCATGTGTTCAACCCCGGTTCAATCCCTGGCATCCATATGATTCCCAGAGCCTCTGCTAGGAGTGATCCCTGAGCACAAAGCCAGGAGTAAAAGCCTGAGCACTGCAGACTCTGGCTCTCAAACAAAAAATAATTTAAAATAATCCTTTAAAACCTACCATTTTCAACACCCACACATTTTCTTTCTTTTTTTTTAACTTTTATTTTGTGGTGTGGAACCACACCTGGTGTTGTTCAGTTACTCTGTGCTCAGGGATCACTCCTAGTGGGGTTCAGAGAACCATATTGGGTGCCAGGGCTTGAATCCAAATTGGCTGTGTGCCAGCCTTACCCACTGTAGTATTTCTCTTTCCCCCACCCCTTTTTGTGGGGGTGGGGCACAACCAGTAATGCTCAGGGCTGACTCCTGACTCTGCACTCAGGAATTACTCCTGACAGTGCTTGGGGACCATATTGGGTGCCAGGAATTGAACTCAGGTCAGTTGCATGCAAAGCCTTACTTGCTGTACTACTGCTCCAGCCCCCAGCCCCCAGAGTTTGCTATCAACTTTCTTCTCTACTGCTGTAGCAAGAAATATAAATTATAATTTCGAATGTCTTAATAGAAATCCTTTCTAAGAGGTCTCAGAAACATTCTTTTAGGGTGAACTCAGTGGGGCTAGGAACAGCAACAGAGACTGGCTCATGGGCTTCTTGTTTGCAGTTAGGGAAGCTACGTCATGAACTCTGAGAGACCTCTGATGTCCCAGAAGGGGTCCATATACTGGCATTAGTACAATTTAAAGCACATTTGGAGGGGGGCATCTCGGACGGCTGAGCGACAGTGGAACTAATAAAGTAATCATCAGTGTCAAGAGAGGGGTTCGGCAGGGTGATACCATTTCACCGAAACTCTTCAGTGCCACCCTCGAGAACATCATGCGACGGCTGGAATGGGAAGGAATGGGAGTGAAGATAGATGGTCGGCAACTACACCACCTCCGCTTTGCTGATGACATTGTTTTAATAACACCAAACCTCAGCCAAGCGGCACAAATGCTGGCCGACTTCGACTTTGAGTGTGGAAAGGTTGGTCTACAGCTGAATCTCACGAAGACAATGTTTATGAGAAACAGCCTCGTTCCTGATGCCCCATTCGCTCTCAACGGTACGACCATCTCCGAATGCAACAGCTATGTGTACCTAGGTCGAGAAGTTAACATGACAAATGACCTGGCACCCGAGCTGCGCAGGAGGAAGAGAGTGGCTTGGAACGCCTTCAAGAGCGTCGAAGAAATAGCTATGAGGACAAAGAACCTCTGGCTCCGGGCAGAAGGAAACAGGCAGAGGGACAGCACCCTTTCCCCCCTGGGGTGGCCCAGCAACAGAAACCTACTGTGGGGTCCGGACACATTTCTGCCAAAAGCCGCTGGGTTTCAAGATTTGTTTCTGAGTCTCTGGGATCAAGGCCGTTAGCAGCTTGATCAGGAGCCAGAGAGGCCGTTCGTGGGCGATGACTTGGGGTCTTGTTGGGGTGGGGAGGACAAGCCCGGCTTCACCCCCATCCCATGAGGCCCTGTGTGTCTCTTCACTGGGGGCCCAAATGTGACTATCCAGTGGCCCAAATGTGACTATCCAGTGGCCTCTGAAGGATGGCCTCTGAAGGATGGCGGCCACTGGGCCGCCAGGCAGAATAGGCCAAAGCACAAAACCTATTCCCACCTGGGTTGGCCCAGCATCGGTAGCCTACTGCAGAGACCGGATGCATTTCTACCTAAAGCCACTGGGTTCCGAGATTCGTTTCTGACTCTCTGGGATCATGGCCATTAAGCAGTTCAATCAAGAACCAAAGAGGCCTTGCCTCCAATTATATAGCTGAGCCAGAGGTGGTTTGTGGGTGTTTCCCACATACCTAACTTTTGGCCATTTACTTTCTTGGTAAACTTTTTTTGGGGTCTGGCCAAAGGCACAGCAGCAATTTTGGGGTATCTGGAGGTCTGAAGGCGCCATCAGGCTGCTGATGCACTCGCCTCACAGGAACAGATTGACCTGCTGGCAGCACCATACTCCCTGCTTCCTCCTTTTAAGGATATTCAGAAACATTTCTTCTCTTTTAAAAAAATCCAACTAACTCAATATGTCACAATGGTAGAAAGTGTTAAACTAAATCCAGCCAACTTGGCTACTGTCACAGGCTAGCAGGCCACTGTCCCCTTTTCCCTACTCAGACAACAAAACAACTGAGCTACACTCAAACTAAGATGAAATTATTGCAGACATGATGCGGGAATGACCGCGCGGCCAAGGAACCCCTCGGGATAGGTCCAGTGCTGTTCGTTCCGGGAACACGGTCCCTGGCAGAAGTGAAAAGCAGGCCTGGCATCTAAGTGTCCACACTCTTAACACGCACAAAATAGGTTCACATGTGACTCTTCTCACTTATGTTAAGAGTTACCATAAAAAAAAAAAAGAGGGGTCATCCCTAGTTGTGCTGAAGGCTTACTCCTAGCAGGAGTTCAGAAAACCATATATGGTGCTGGGACTGAACTCCGGTCCTACATGTGCAAGAAAAATGTTCTACCTGCTGTACTAAGTCTCTAGCACCACCACAAAAAATTTAATTTGGAAACCAAAAGTGTACAGAATGGAACCTGGAGATGAATATTCTTGGTTTAATGTAGGGTCAACACAAATGCTAATCTTGCACGCATTAGATTTTATAGTACAGTATCAAAGGAAGAACTGTTCAGGCATCCTTTATCCCATTGTCTTCAGAAATGTTTTACAAAGCCCCCACCAGGTTCGCTTTCATGGCAAAGAACACCAAGCAGAGAGTTTAGGGATCCTTCTAAGTTTCCCAGGCAGAGTCAGGCTTGCAGATGAAGCAGTGCAGTGATGCTCAGCTCTGGTCTTCTTCCCATTCAGAAGCTCTGCGGGGCCCCATGCAGATGGTGACTGAGATCATGATCCTGACCCTCTGCACCCTCTGTGTCCTGCTCGCTGCAGTGTTCTTGATGCTCCTCCTGCGGAGACACACCTGAGAGGTTGGTCATTTGGCAGCTTTCGGGGCAGCTGGTAGAGGACAATCATCACCATTTCCTGCTCTGCTCTGAGTGTTTATGTACATTTGTTTTCAGTTGCTGTGACTTTTTTTCTTTCTGTTTTTTTTCCTGGGAAGGAGAAGGAAGAGGAGGGATCAGATAGTAGGATTTAAGAATTAGAAAATAAAAGCAACCAAAACTTAAAGTCATCTGTAATACTACCCCTCTCAAAGTCAATGCCTGGGGTCTTTGTTTAGTGGGGTTTTTGGGGGTTGTTGGGCCACACCTGGTGATTCTCATGGCTTACTCCTGGCTCTACAATCAGAGATCGGGGACCATATGGGATTCTCAAGATTGAAGCTGGATTCATTGTGTGCAAGGCAAGTGGCAACCCGCTCTACTATTGCTTAGACTCCTTTACTACTATGCATTTATTTTCAATTTGCAAAAAGGGATCGTCACAAACTATTCTATGAACTATTTTCCACTCCAAATCTTCCCAGAAACAGTACTTAAGCTAAAAATCACCATCTCAGTACTGTTCTATACATGACAATCAATTATCTATAGACAAAATTCAGGCAACCAGGGCAAAGCATTAGGTGGATACCAAGTAAATGAACATCCACTTAGATCCTTTTCTGAGATGAGCTGGGGGAAAAAAAAATCGCCAAATCTTATTTTCAAAAATACATCTTTAGCTTCATTATTTCTGTATTTAAGACAAACTTTTGTTCATTTTTAGTTTTGGGGATCACACCCAGCAGTGCTCAGGGCTGACTCCTGGTGGTGCTCAGGGGACATGGGTCAATCACATGCAAGGCAAATACCTGAACCCCTGTTATCTCTGGTACAAGACAAAAACAACAAAAACAAGAACAAAAAATAAAACCAACCTGCTTATGCTAAATTCAATTTCCTTTTCTCAATAAATTACCTCAAAGAAATTTTATGGATTTAACTTAGAGATTTTCTGTTGCTGAAAGAATTCAAACGTGAGTGCTGACTACAGCTCACAGTATCCCGAGAATGAACACACTACCTTGAACAAGCCCCGCCCACAAACTTCACTTGAAATGCACTTGGCTGCTGGTGATCATGGTGGTGAAGCACATCTTCTCTTCCAAGCTACCATTGAATGTTAGCTCAGAAAAATCTGTAACAAGAAACACAGAACTTACTGGCTTTTCTACCACAAGTACAAATGAACTTTTATAATAATCAAAAGCAGCTGAGGGCCTGGGGGTAGCACAGCAGGGAGGGTGCTTGCCTTGCATGCAACCAAACCAGGTTCAATCAGCACCATCAAGAGTACCCACTGAGCATCGCCAGGTGTGGCCCCGACACAAAACAAGGTAGTCGAAATCAGTGTTTCATCATTTTCTGAATATGGTCTCCTTCTGAACTTGCACTTGAGCTGTTAAAATCTCTCCAGCCCTGACTTCTAATTTTCTAGAGCTTCCTGCCTTTTTATTATATAGAAAAGATGGAACCGTCACCAGTTTCTTTAGGACTTAACAGTTCAACCATCTGAGCAGAGAGGCAGACTTTCTAGTTTAGGGAGGTTTTATACATATATATACATATATACTCTGGTTTCTCTTCAGATCGCATATATATATCACAACATATACTTTTGGGGAGAAAGAATAAATATTTTCTGGAAATTCTACAAGTATCAATTACAGTTACTCCCCAGCAAACTGGTATGGGCCATTAAAGTCTTCTATTTTGCCTTAAACCGCTAAAATTTGATTTTGCGTAACCCTTGCAGTACTGGAAGGCCCTCACTCGACCCTTACACATAGAGGACAGCTCCATATGGAGAAGCAGCATATGTATTAAACTTCTTGGGGGACTTACCGAAGGAGGGCAGTTTGGTGAGAGCTAGTTACATAAAGACCTTACCTATCTCTAACTGACATGGGCCAGGTTGGGGGAGCCTTAGAAACCAGCTGATGGGGGTCTCACCACTGCTCAGTCTGCCCACCAGGATATACGGAGTAAGTGGCATTTCCACTGGGTGACCTCTCCCCCTGCCCTACTGTAATGTGCTGGCTAACCCCTCTCCCATGGCCCTAGTGATTGTCCCTCTATTCAGGATGAGGAGGGTGCTATTTACTGCTCCCCCCAACCCCGAATAAATACACTGTGCACCTAGAGTTCAGGAAAATTAATTAAAACCAGGCACGAGAGTGACAAAAATGATCAAAAATAATCACTGTTTATTTTCCAGTGGAAAACCTTTTTCTTTTTTGGGCCACAGCGGTACGTTCAGGCCTCACTCCTGGCCCTATACTCAGATCGTATGGAGTGTCGGGGATGGAACCTGGGTCAGCTATATGCAAGGCAAATACCCCACCTGCTGCACTACCTCCAGCCTCCAGTACCACAAACCCTCCTTACCGACTCTGGGGGAGTTCAGATGGTCCACAGGCAGGCTGTCACTCAGCTGCCAAACAGTTTTCACCTTCTTGTGACCACTATTTATTTCCACTCTCCATTTCTGTGGCTTCTCACTAAGAAAAAAAGATCAAAGTTGGGCTGGGGCTGGGAGTGGGGGGTCCAACCATGCCCTTTCCCTACTGCCTCCATTTTACACCGCGTGACAAAGCTCCAAGCCCCCCCACCGCAGTCACAGGGCGTAGGAAGAGGCTTGAGGGCAGAGCATGCTGCGGACCTGCGTGGGAGCCGGGGCACCCCAAGAACCCCGACCACTCCCACCCAGACACTGTTGGGAGCGACCCCCACAATAGCAGCAACTACAGAATAGCAGAGTCATGAGAGGGAGGGAAACTAGGATAGGAATGAAGATTCTGGGAGGAACCTGCTTGGCCTCAGAGGAAAGGAGGCCCTGACAAGGGTGACCGAGCTCAGCAGGGGACTGCAGGGCGAGGACAGGCCCCGGTGGACGTGGGAGGGCATGGACACTGTCCTCAACTGAAAAGGGCAGAAGCCAGTAGTGGGGGCCCAAGGGCTGGGGGCACTGAAGCAACTGAAAGCCATTTCGATAGGAGGAAGCGGGGGATTCGGATCTCAGGAAGGTCAAGGAGCAGGTGAAACAGAAAAGATCACCTGACCCTCCATATGTAGATGTAAAGACCAGGCACTACAGCAGGCAACGATGGCATGTAAGGAGACGCTGAGTGAGGCGTCTGTAAGGAGGAAGTGGCGACTGTATACAGGGGCGTAAGGAATGCGAGTGACATGTCACACCCCAATTTGTTTGGGGCATTAGGTGAAGATTAGCAATGGTCGCCTGAGCAGAGACTGAGCCTGTGTCGGGAAGGGTCTTGGGTTCTGAGCCCGCACGTCTACAGGACACTGGTGCTGGTGCTGAAACCTTGCACAGGCACCCAGGGACCTGGGCCGTCAGCTCTGGAGCACAATGGAGATGCGAGTTGTCACCTATTGAAATCCCAAAGCAAGTCAAGTGTTGAGCAGGAATGTAATCAGTCACACAGAGAAGAGAGCAGAGGGGACAGTTTCGGTGAAAACTCAGATGAGGCGGGCAAAGGAAGCACTTGAGAGGGATTCTCAGTGGGACTGTGACTCAAGGGGTAGAGCACATCACGCATGTCCCAGGCCCTGGCTCAATGTCCAGTACCAAGTGGGAGGAGGAGGAGAAAGAGGGACGAGAAGGGAGAGGGAGAAGAAGATGAAGAAGAGGAAGAGGAAGAAGAAGAGGAAGAGAAGGTGGAGGAGGAGAATTCTCAGTCTTGGGAGTGGAGTGAGAGGTTGAATTCAAAGAGATGTCTACATGACAGAATAATGGACGGCCCAAGTTCAAATGTTGAATGGTGGAAGTCTTAACAATCTCTTTATTAAAGGAAGGAGAATTGGTGGACTAGTTCTTACATGAGAACTACCCCCCCCCCTCGGCCCCACCAAACCCACTTTGGGTGGGGGTGTGAGGGCTGGAACACTTCCCAGTGAGTTGCTCAGAGCTCATACCTGCTGTTGGGAGACACAGAGCCTAAGTATCAGTCCCTGAAGCCATCTCCCCACCCTTGAAGGTCACTGGTGACATGTGCTAAGCAACTCTGAGGGTGCTGACAAGCGAGGAGAGAAATGAAGAGAGGGAGGGAGGAAGAAGAGATTTTTTCCCCCCATAAAGGCCCTCCCGTAGATCATTGATTTGCTCGAGCGGGCCCAGTAACGTCTCCACTGGAGACTTTGTTGTTACTGTGTTTGGCATATCGAATACTCTCGGTAGCTTGCCGGGCTCTCCAAGAGGGGCGGAGGAATCGAACTCGGGTCGGCCATGTTGGCCGCTTGTAAGGCGAATGCCCTACCCGCTGTGCTATCGCTTCCCCCCAGATTAATTTTTAATAAAATGTTACAAAGTATCATTAGTCGAAGAATGATGCTCAAATGACTAGATATGCCCAGAAGAAAAAAAAGCATATGAACAAAAATCCTCATGCCATATACAAAATTTAACTCCATATATATCAAAAACTAATTGTGAATAATAAAATAAATACAAAGGTGCAAATCATTTTTCCTTTGGGTTATACAGTCTTTTCTTATATGTGGCAACCAAAGTATGAACACTAAAGGAAAAAATCAGTTAAAGTTCATTAAAATCAAGAATGTTGTATTTTCATATGATGCCATCCAAGAAAGCAAAACCAACCCACAGAACAAGACAAAGTATTTGCAAGTCATCTATCTGCTTAAGTATATGGAATATAGAAAATTCAAGAAAAAATTTTTTAAAAAACTGAATTAGAATTTGACAAATGACAGGGGCTGGAGAGATAGCACAGCATGTAGGGTGTTTGCCTTGCACGCGGCCGACCCGGGTTGGATTCTCAGCATCCCATATGGTCCCCTGGGCACCGCCCGCCAGGAGTAACTCCTGAGTGCAGAGCAAAGAGTAACCCCTGTGCATCCCCAGGTATGACCCCCCCAAAAAAAAAGACTTTGACAAATGACAAAGTACTTAAAGACTTAAAGGAACATTTCTATCAAAAGGTTATATAGCTAGCTAAGAAACTTTTTACACTGAAAATTAAAAAAGGTTAATGACAGTAGCTATTAGAGAAATACAGGTCAAAACCACATGGTTTTTAAATTTATTTATTTGTCAACTTTATTATTTATTAAGTTTACTTATTGTTCTTTTTTTATTTTTTAAATTATATTGAATCACCGTGAGTTAGTTATAAGCTTTCATGTTTGGGTTACAATCACACAATGATCAAACACCCATCCCTCCACCAGTGCACATTCCCCACCACCAATATCTCCGGTATAACCCCCCTTTCCCACCCTCCCCCTGCCTCCATGGCAGACATGATTCCGCATAATCTCTCTCTACTTTTGGGCATTATGGTTTGCAATACAGAGCCTGAGAGATTATCATGTTTGGTCCTTTATCTACTTTCTGCACACATCTCCCATCCCGACCGGTTCCTCCAGCCACCTTTTTCTTAGCGATCCCTTCTCTATTCCAGCTGCCTTCTCCGGAAGGAGAGATTTGAATAGGAGAGATTTCACCCACGGTGGCTCCTCAATGTCTGCGGAGGACAGAGTCATCACGGCCCTTGCTGCCCACACAGGCACACCTCTCATTCTGCCCTCTTATCCGGATCACTCCCTCTCTGTCTCTTTTACCAACCTGCTATTCCTTCTGTTCTGTCTAGATGAGATTACAAAGGGAGAGAACGACAAGAGATGAGAGGGCGAGCAGAGAAAGGTCTGGGAAGAGGCAGGAGAAGCCCACCAGACAAAGAGCCCCCTGGAACCAACACTGAAATGGTCGCACAAGGCCCAGGTGAAACACGGGTCACCAGGCCATTTACCTCTGGTACAAATCCTTTACGGCGGTTGGTCTGACGGGTAGCTGAAAGATGTGCTGCTCATCAAGAGGGTTTTGTTTGTAATATTTTACACAGGATCTTAAAAAAAGAAAGGAAAAGACTTCTTTTAGAAAAGCAAGCCACTTGGTGATCAAACTCTTTTGGTGGTCTAAAGCTCACAAGGGCAACATTGTACTGAGTAATGGCCAACGCATCAGTAAGAGTAAACTCCAGGCCAGACAAGAAAGCAGTAACTCACGGACCCTTACTGGACCCAGAGATGCGTGTTTTCTTTCACAAGTGATCTCAAAATGATTTGGCTCAAAATGAACAGGCACATTCATCAAACAAAAATTTTTTTTTGGGTGAGCCTGAGTAAACATTAAACGTGTAAAAACAAGAGGCCAGGAAGATGAAACACATTTCCGTGATTTCTGAGTAATACAACACATATAATTTTCCAGTCTTGTTTCTGGCTCCCCGGCAGTACTGGGGGGCTCCTGAAAGCAGCTGCTCAGCCCGCTCAGCCATCACTCCCATCTCTCCCTTTCTTAAGGGAGAAAAGTTCTTTTTGATTCTGCAAACAGGAAGACTTTCATGCTTTCCCCCTTACAGCTGAGCCAACGTCTGGATTAGAAAAAGACTGGCAGACTTCTTTCCCTAGATATAAAGGGTTCCAGGCCAAGGCCCAGATCCGCATTGGGAACTGGACACTGGCAATCTGGAGTAGACAGACTTCTCTGACGAACTGCAGTCATGGCAGAAGGAGCCTGCAACTCTTATTCTGGAGACCATATTCATCAGCGCTCAGGGGTCACTCCTGGCAGTGCTTGGGAACCCTACGGCATGCCAACAATCGAACCTGGGGTGCTGGATGAAAGGCAAGAGGCTTACCCACTGTATTATTACTCCAGCTGCCCCCCCAAATATAGCAACTTTGGTGGGGCTCAATGGCAGGGCACCTTTGCAAGCATGAGGCTTTGGTTTCTGTCCCTGGCACTGTCCCGAGGCATAAGGGCCATTCCCAACACTCCTGCCTCCACGTGTGGGGTCCCAGGCACTGACGCAAAGACAGCAAAGGAAAATTCATCAATCACAGCGATATTGTTGACAGAGTAACAGTATTTGATCTACACTGATATAATCAAGATGGTTAACTTGGCTCAAATTGTTCTGTTTAGTTTTTGGGCCACAGTCCTGGCAGGCTTGGGGGACAATAATAGGGTGTCAGGGACTGGAATAGTGTCAGCCCTGTGCAGAGAAAGTGCCTGCTGTACTATCCAGCCCCAATATATTCTCTTTATAGACGAGAACCCAAGATTCAGTGCAAGAAAACTTCCAGGAAGCTAGGAAGTGCTAAAACTGGTACATCTTATACCTTAGCTGTAACGATTTAGAACCGGAGTTATTTTCATGTAATTAAAGAATAAAATAGTACTTACTGTGTTAAAGAAAAAAGCTGCTCATGTTGAAGATGAATGAAAAGCTTGCAACTGACCAATATTTCTAGAATGTGGTGGAGTTTTTGAACATGATAAACCTGTTCTTGTATATCTACTGATGGTGAAAGAAAATATTCCTGGAACGAAAACAAAGCAAGCAAAGAACAAATCGAATCGTTGGTAAGAATCTGGTGGTGCCTACAAAACTAACACTAAAATTTTAGACGCTTCATTTCCTGAGACGAAATATGACAGAATTTACCACCTTTCAATACTATCCTTCAAGTGAGCTATAAATAGAATTTTCACAGAGATTATGTGTTTGTTTTGGGGCCAGTCTTATTAGCAGTGCTCAGGGCTCAGTTTTACTGGTGCCAGAAATGGAATCTGGACATCCTGCATACAAACACTCAGCCCACTGAGGACTCTCTCCAGTCCTGAGGACGCTTTGAGTAAAACATATTCTCTGGTAAACACAGAACTTCTTCACCAAGGAGCCCCAAGCAGGCCAGTGCCCATCGCACCCCTGAAAGAATGCATAGTGAACCCACAAGATGATTCTTCATCTCATACTCTGGCTAGGTTGTTGGGAGTGATTATTTCTAAAGAGGAGTAAACCCGAAGTAACAAGAAGCTGAGCAGTAAGTAACCAATGATATTCCGCTCAGTTATCACTGGCAAACGGCTACAACCCTTTGGAAAAGGAATTTGGCGAATTAAATTAAGGATCATAAAGTGCTGAGGTCTTCTAGTTCTTTTTTTAAAAGCTCACACTAAAAAAAGGGACCTGAGAGAGAGCGCAGGGATTGAGGTGCTCTTGCCTTGCAGGTGGCTGACCTAGGGGATGCCACACCCCTGGCCCTCTGAGCTTGCTCAGTGTTGGATAACATTGGGTTGTCCTTGCTCCTCCCTTAGGGAGCTTAGGTTTATTGAGTTACTCCCACAATAGTGCCCCAGAGGCACACCAATTCCATCAGGCACCAATAATCCTATATTGCTTTTTTGCTTTTCTCTTTGATTTATGTTACCTGCATGTTTTAGCAATGTCCTTTTTGTATAGACACTGGAAGACAGTTGATACTATGCCTTGTAACATGAGAGTTAATTGACTCCAAATAATTTTTACTCCTGGACATCCATCATATTTACCTGACTTAAGCCTCACTTGCCCTTACTCCCTAACACCCCCAAAAGGAGGGTCCGGACAAAGGGACTGAATGGACCCAGGGCAAGCTGTAACCTAGCCTGGCATCGAAAGGGGGCAAGCTAAGCACTATAAGTATAATAAATTAAGAACATGGTCATGGAACAAACTCTGCCATGACCCAAAAGGAAGTAACTGAATAAGGACCTTGCTGGGGTTAAGAAAGACTGGTCTTTAGTCCCTCTATCGAGGGAATGGCTCTTGGCCACTGATTTTTTTTTCTTTTTAATTTTTATTAGTGAAACACCATGAGGTACAGTTGTAGACTTAGAAACTTTTGTGCTTGCGTTTCAGTTATACAATGATCGAGTACCCAACCCTCCACCAGTGCTCATTCTCCACCATCAATGATCCCAGTAGCCCTCCCCTCCTCCTCCCCAATCCTACCTCACCTCTGGACACCAATTTTTTTTTTTTGAGACTCACAGTCAGGAGTAAGTCCTGGGCACCATCAGGCCTGACTGAAATACCAAACAAAAAACAATACTAGAGAATTTAGTGGGAAGAATACTATGATGGTCTCAAGATTTCCAACACTGGAACACACATTACACATTGTCCCTTGAGTGGCATCAGGCCTATGAATAGATGGGACACTATCCATCGACCTTTAGCCCTGCACTGTGCCAGGTATCAAACCCAGAGCCTCATTCTGCATTTCAAGGGGACCATATATGGTGACAGGAATAGAACTGGGTTGGCTACATACAAGTGCCTGGTCCTCTGAATTACTCTGTAGCCATCTAAATTTGTGGGGTGGGACCAGACCTAACAGGGCTGAGACGCTTCTTGCTAAGCTCAGGGATCACTTCTGGTGGTGCTCAAGGGATCTTAAATGATGTAGGGGCTTGAACTGGAGCCATCCACATACAAGGCAATACTGTACTACCTCTCTCAATCTTCTTTTTCTTTTGGAGGGGTGTCACACCTGGTGGCAGTCCTCAGGGCTTATTCCTGGCTCTGCATCCAGGGATCACTCCTAGCGGGGCTTAGTAGACCACATAAGCATATGGGGTGGTGGGAATTGAACCCAGATTAGTCATGTGTAAGGCAACGCCCTACCTGCTGTACTCTGGCTCCTTCATATTTTAATATTTAAAAAAAGGTGTCACTGGGGCCGGAGCGATAGCATAGCGAGTAGGGCGTTTGCCTTGTACGCAGCCCACCTGGGTTCGATCCCCGGCATCCCATATGGTCCCCCAAGCACCACCAGGAGTAATTCCTGAGTGCAGAGCCAGGAATAACCCCTGAGCATCGCTGGGTGTGACCCAAAAAGCAAAAAACAAACAAACAAAAAAGGCGTCACCTCCAGTGGTGCTGTGGGGTGGGGGTGGATGGACTCTGGGGTCACTGCTGGTGATGTTCAGCCAGGCAGCACAGTCTGATGCTCAGGTGTCTCAGGCTGCACCCTGCGATGCTCAGGGGCTCACTGGGTGCTGGACCTTCCGTGAGCATCTCCCTGACCCTCTTATGTTTTATAAAGTCAAATTAATTAATACTTAAATTTGTTTTCTGAAAAGAGCTCCTTTTTCAATGTCCAGTGTCAGTATGGCCAGTCTTCCGCTCACTCTCTTAAAGCCTACACACATCCTTACACACGTGAGCACACATTCCCACCTCTGGAACTGTGACTCTAAAACCCAGAGGTAAATTTTGAATTATACATTTAAAAAACATAACGGGTTCTTTGGTAAGTAATCCTTTATATCTAACAGACTTGGGTCAGAATACGAAGGCCTTCCCTTAGATCGGCGAGTGCTGCTGGGAGCACATCAGGACTCACTCAGCACCATTGGCAGGTTCTTGGAAGATGAACTTAGAACAGAACCAGGTATAAAGTACAGTAGAAGGGTTTTGAAATAATACCATTTAACTGAATGTTGGTGGGAAGTGTTTCTTTCTCATCAATTCTATGACAAAATAAACTCTGAGGACCAGATATCCACCAGCTTTCCAGGGTACAACTATATATTGGTACCAGACTTTTGTAGAGTACACATAATGACCAAGGAATGGCCATTCTTTTGTCTGAGTACCAGATAGTCGTGATTAAGGACAATGACTGTCCAACTTCTATCCCAGGGTCCAGGACACAGCTGCCACATGACAGGTCTTCAATATATGTATGCAAAGACTAAAGAAAAATCAAACATACTCACCAAATGATTCAAAGAGGCAAGTTCTTGACCTATCAAGAAAAACATATATGCAAATAAGTTTTAGATGCTATTATAAAGAAATCTAAGAAATAATTTTTATAGTTCATATATAAATAAGACGTGTGGGGCTAGAGAGATAGTATGGCAGGTAGGGCACTTGCCTTGTATTCGGCAAACCTGGCCAACCTGGGTTTGATCTCTGACACTCCATTCGGTCCCTGAGCCCTACCAGGAGTGATTCCCAGGCACAGAGTTAGGAGTAAGCCCTGAGTATTATCAGGTATGGCCCCAAAGCAATCTAATTTATAATCTGATAAAATCTAAAAGTGTTTGGGGAACCACTTATGATACCATGTAAGCTCATCTACCAACCTTGCTCCAGAGACTCAAATAAATTTTGGAAGAGATTAGCTTGCTACAAAAAATGTTCTCAGACACCCGATCAGGCTGAGATATCTGGGACACCCTGAAGTGGGGCAAGTTGGTCCAGTGCCCCACCAAAACAGAGCCCCCAAGCCACTTGCTCCCACACTGAAAAATCTCCACCATGTCTCTGGCCAGACTCCGCTGTCTTAGAACCAAGTCTCACCTAGAAATTAAACTGCTGAGAATTCGGGTATGCAGGTCTTTGTGACTGAAATCTCCTAACTTTCTGGAGGTTGGAATGGACTACCTCCCCCCATCTCCCTATACTTCCAGAAGTCCAGGCAGTCACATCCACACCCCAAAACATCCACCTGGTTAAAAATTCAGGACTTCCTGGAGCGTGAGGCCACTTTGCGGCCGTGCAACATCTCCAAATTCTACAACACTGACTATCCAGTAGTAGCAGACCAGATTGGATGGGATGTAACACAGAAGGCAACCCATTTGACTAACCAAACAGTAATACAGAAGGCTTAATCTGTAACAACATTTTAGTAATCTCATACAAGACTAATGTTTCCATGGTGAGATACAATTTACACTAATTTTCTTCTAAGGAAATACATTTTGATCATTTCATTAGCAATTTATCCGTAACAAACACTATAAAGTAAATTACTGTGGGCCTATTATGGAGGTATAATTTCCCACCCTTGAGGGGTGGTGGGAAAATTGGAGGCAAAAGTGACAATGGTGGTGGAACTGGTGTTGGAATAGAGAATGCCTGTAACAAATCATCACCAACAAGTTTTGTAGGATAACATTGCTTTGTCCTTCCACAAGAAGCTTAGGTTTATCTGGTTACTCCCATCACAGTGCTCCTGAGGCACTTCCACTCCATTGTGTTTATCTGTAAAGTCTTCCCTATGCTCTCTTCCCCACCCAGTTAATCAGCTTTCCCCTTAATCAGACTCTGTTAATTTGTAAGATCAGTTTCCCAGAAATCTATGATTTTATATGTATGAATGAAATATTGCCTTTCTCCTTTCCTTATGCCTTATGAACAGTTTACTTTAAAGCAATATCCTTTTTGTATAGATACAGGAAGACCGTTAACATTATGCTCTGTAACTTAGGATTTGATTGGCTTTGAATATTATTCACTCCCGGGCATCTGCTTTCTTGACTTAAGCCTCAGTTGCCCTTAGTTCCTAACACCCCAAAAGCAGGGTCCCGATGAGGGACTGAATGGACCCAGGGCAAGCGGTGAGCTACCCTGGCATCGAAATGGGCCAGGCCAAAGTGCCACGATTCTTAACTATAAGTTAAGAGTTTGATCATAGACAAATGCTGTCATGATCCAAAAGTAATGACAAGACTAGGATCCTGCTAGGGGTAGGAAAGACTATCTGGCCTGAGCACTGTAGTCTGAGATTGAGATGGCCCTAGGAGAGCAATTCTATAAGTTTAAGATATTTCTTACTGTATCCATACAAAATGATTTATATCCTATATGCTTATATGCTTGTCGGACAAGGAGAGGAGAGTCACACCCTTGGGGTTCCACTCTAGGGTGGGTCCTCCTGCTGAGAAAGGATCTGTCCTAGGAGTGGCTTTCCCTGAGGCTAAGATTTCTACCCCTGTTGATTTCTACCCCTATTGATTGTGACCACACCTATGTGTAATTGTTCCCCCAATTCCTCTTGGAGAGAGATATAATGAGACTGTAGATTGGGCAGAGGGGAGCAGAGACAGAAGCAGAGACAGACAAGAGAGACTGGTGTAGATGGAGAGAGGAATGAAATAAACTGCTACTAATAGCAACCAGCCTGGCCCTCCTTCCTTCCTCCACCTGACTATTGCCATCGACCTCCCCAGGGTGGGAGAAGGGTAAGACTACCGAACGCGGGCGGCGGGAGAGATAGAGCCACTGCCGCTGTGTGCCGTGCCCCCTTTGTGTGAGTTTACACAAAGTTTGCAAAACATAGTGCTTATGAAAAATGTGGGAGAAGCATTTACATAAGTAGGCCTCACCTATTTCATGTAAACTCCAAAATATATTAGCACAGATTTTTTAAAAATGTTTTGTTAATGACAGATAAGGTATGATTACCATAATGAGATCCAAATATAAAATAAGATTTAATGCAATATATCTTAGATTCCAGAAATCTTGCTTATGTAAATGAGGAGGAACATTTTATTGTATCAAAGGGTTTATTTTCCTTATTTACATAGGTAAAAATCATATAGTAGTCACAAATTGGCTCTTACTGATTTATTTTCTGTTCATTCTATTGGCCATTTCTTAGCTTTATTGGAGCAAATAATATAAAGCAGATTTATGGCCGACCCAAGTTCGATTCCTTCGCCCCTCTCGGAGAGCCCAGCAAGCTACCGAGAGTATTCGATATGCCAGACACAGTAACAACAAAGTCTCCAATGGAGACGTTATTTGCTCGAGCAAATCGACAATCAACGGGAGGGCCTTTACCTTTACCTTTACCTTTGTTATAAAATAAATTTGTTATTTGCCTAAGAGGGCAGATTGGTGATGGGAGGGAAAATGGGAACATTGGTGGAGGGAAGGTCACACTGGTGGTGTTGAAACAATAAATGTCTGAAGCAACTGTATGAAGAACAACTTTGTAAATCAGTGTTTTTAATAAAAATAAAATTTAAAAAATTGTTTGACTGAAAACTGAAAATAAAGTTACCTTTAATTTATTATTTGAGTGAGGGAAAAATCAGGACTCAGAGAAGAAAACTGCTTATTTCACAGAGAGCAAGAAGAAAAGTCAGAACTATCATGACTAGGTGAAAATCAAAAGATAAAACCAGACTGATAGCACAGAGAGTAGGGTATTTGCATTACACGCTGCCAACCCAGGTTCAATCTGGCATCCCTGAGCACTGCCATGAGTGATCCCTGAGCCCAGAGCTAGGAGTAAGCCCTGAGCACAGTCCCATGCAGTCAAAAACAAAACAGAGAGTATCGATGGTTGACAAGTATAATGCCTTCTTTTGAACAGTAAAGAAACTTACCTATTAAAAAAAAACTGATATAATCCTTCTTTAGTTTGTCTAACCCAATTTCCAGAAGCATCTGCATGGGGGAAGGTCCCTCTGAGAGACACTGGATCCATAGCTCCATGGTAAAACTGATGGATGAGCTTACTTAGTGAACTGGTACTCCCACTATGAAGCTGTAAGTCAGATTACAAAACAACATGAAAATAATTTCCAAGAAGCAAAATATATTGTGTGATGAGCAAAAAAAATTATAAACTTGCATTTCAGTTCTTGAACACTATCAATCACTTAAATGCCCCAGGTTACAGACAACCCTTAGTGTCACATCTAGGGTTAAGCAGCCATGAAGAGTTTTACACTCATCACCCCTGGCTGGAGCGATAGCACAGCGGGTAGGGCGTCTGCCTTGCACGCAGCCAACATGGCCGACCCGAGTTTGATTACTCCGCCCCTCTCGCAGAGCCCGGCAAGCTACCGAGAGTATTCGATATGCCAGACACAGTAACAACAAAGTCTCCAATGGAGACGTTACTGGGCCCGCTCGAGCAAATCGATGATCAACGGGAGGGCCTTTACTTTCTTTACTTTACCCCTGAGGTGGGCATGCACTGTTCTTACCTCGACATTACAGATGAGGAGCCTGTCACACAGGAACAGCTGGACTAAACCCATGTGCCCATGTGCTGTGCCAGTATGTGAGACCATTCAGACACTTCAGAACCCACCACCTATCCAGGGTTGAATGTCCCCATGCTGGAGGCTCTGGATGATCAATGTAAAGCATTTCACCAGGTCTTGGTAAGAAACCACACCTGGGGAAACAAGCCAGTTCAACATTATTGCAAGGCGTTTCTGCAGATGCAATTGGTCATCACTATCAAGAATATGAAAATAAAGGAAAAAGAAGTATCTGTTTATGAATACTTTATTAATAGAGAAAGCATCAAACATCTTTTTATAAAAGCTTTAGGGGCCAGAAGTGATAGTATAGCAGGTAGGGTGCTTGCCTTGCAAGCTGACCAGGACTCAATCCCCAGCATCTCATAGGGTTCCCCAAGCACCTGCAGAAATGATATCTGAGTGCAGAGCCAGGAGTAACCCCTGAGCACTGCTGGGTGTGGACCAAAAACAACAACAAAAGAGCATTGGAGGGGCTGGAGCAACAGCACAGAGGGTAGGGTGTTTGCCTTGCACGTAGCTGACCCAAGTTCGATTCCCAGCATCCCATATGGTCCCCTGAGAACTGCCAGGAGTAATTCCTGAATGCATGAGCCAGGGATCCAAGAGTAACCCCTGTGCATCACCGGGTGTGACCCAAAAAGCAAAAAAAAAAAAAAAAGAGCATTGGAGCATTCCAAAGAAGTGAAACTCACTGCCAGGAGTAAGAGAAAATATTAAGCTACCATTCTGATTTTTAAATAATTATAATTTTTGGCCTGAGGCTGCAACTGGATGACAGAGCAACTGCCTTGCACGAATGAATATCTGGGTTTAAGTCACAGCACTACACATACAAAGTTAAACAGGTTTTTTTAAAGTGTGTGCTCTGTTCCTATATGCAGACCATCTGGCGCTAAGATGTGCCATAAAGCACAGGTAGGTTTCATAGGAAAGCATCACTAGTGCTGGAGCTCAAGCCAGG